CGTCTAGCACACTTCATTCATTCTTTCCTTTATGCATGCAGTGGTGTGCCGGAGCAGGCTCCTACCACCACTGGATTGGATTTGTGAGAGCCAGTCCTGCACATCTCTTCCCCACTCTGAGTTCAGTGATGTCATGTTGGTAGCTTGAAGTCAGCCATGGTGGGGTTTTTTAAAAAATAGACTTGATTTCTGAGCAGTTTAAAGAGTAGATTTTAGAGCAGAAAATAGAGATTTTTCTTATCCTCCCCACCCCCACACATGCATAGCCTCCCCCATTTTCAATGACCCCCACCACAGTGGTCCATTTGTCCCAGCTGATGAACCTATACTGATACATCACTATCACCCAAAGTCCATAGTTTATGTCAGGGTTCACTCTTGTTGTGGGTTTTGACAAATGTATAATGACATGTAGCCACCATTATAAAATCACAGAGATTAGTTTCACTGTGAAGCTCTAAAACTCCCCTGTTTCACCTATTCTTCTCCCCAGTCACCCTTGGTAACCTTTCATCTTTTCACTGTCTCTATAATTTTGCCTTTTCTGGAATGTCATATAGTTGGAATCATACAGTATGTAGCCTTTTCAGATTGGTTTCTTTCATTTAGTAATACGCGTTTAAGTTTCCTTCATGTCTTTTCATGGCTTGATAGCTCATTTATTTTTAGCGCTGAATAATATCTCATTGTCTGGGTGTCCCGCAGTTTATTTATCCATTCACTTACTGAAGCACATCTTGGTTGCTTTCAAGTGTTGGCAATGACGAGTAAAGTTGCCGTAAACATTCACGTGCAGGTTTTTGTGTGGACGTAAGTATTCAGCCCTTTGGGTAAATGCCAAGGAGCATGACTGCTGGATCATGTGTTAGGACGAGGTTTAGTTTTGTGAGGACCTGCCAAGCTGTCTTTCAACGTGGCTGCACCATTCGATGTCATTCCCACCCGTAGTGAGTGAGAGTCCCTGTGGCTCCACATCCTTGCCAGTATTTGGTGCTGTCGGCGTTTAGGATCTAGGATGTTCTAAGAGGTGTGTAGTGGTATCTCATTGTTTTAATTTGCATTTCCCTAATGATATATGATGTTGACCCTCTGTTCATTTACTTGCTTGTGATCTCATTATCGTCTTCAGTGAGGTGTCTGTTCAAGTCTTTTGCCCATTTTTGAATTGGGTTGTTCATTTTTTACTGTTGTATTTTAAGAATTCTTTGTTTCTTTTGGATAATAGTCTTAAATAACACATCTATCAGATATGACTTTTGCAAATATTTTCTCTCTTTCTGTGCCTTGTCTTATTCTCTGGACACATAATAGGAATACTTACATCACAGAATTGGCAAATACAGCAAATCAGGGCTTTTCCTCTGAGCTAGTTAAACCTTTACCAGTGCACTTGTGCATTCATGTATCAACCATTCATTGGGTGAACTGTTTGCCCTTGCCCTCAGAAATGTTCAGTCCAGTGGGGGAGGCAGGTTGATGCATCACTGACTATAGAGAAGTTCTGAGTATGGGGATAGAAACAGAACAAGGATGCTACAGGACACGGAGGAGGGGCATCTACATCAGCCATGAATTTGGCGTGGCTTCCCGGCACAGAACTGGAGCCCTGAGCTAAGTACTGTAAAGGGATTAGCAGTTGTCTGGATCCATACTGCCCAATAAGGGAGCCACTTCTGGCTGTGTAACTCACTTGCACTAGACACACTGCACGTGTGGCCAGAGGCCACCACATTGGACAGAGCAAACAGAGACTTTTCCATCATCGTTGCAGAAAGTCCTATTGGACAGCACTGGTCTAGACAAAAACTGGGAGAAAGACACTCCAGGCAGAAGGAACAGGGTGGGAAGACTCAGAGGTCTGAGACAACGTGACTCATTCTGGGGAGAGATGGAAATTTCGGCTGAACAAACAGGCAGCAGTCAGATCACAAAATGTCTTTAGTGTGAAGCTAAGGAGGTTAAACTCTAGCCTGAAAGCCTTGGGGAGGCCCTGAAGGCTTTAACAGAAGCCTGATGTCATCAGCTTTGCATATTAATAAGCTCTCTTTGGCAGTCTGGATCGAGGGGACCAGCCAGGAGGCAGGGAGGCCAGTTCTGAGACCATGGCAATCACCTGGGAGGGAAGAGAGGGAAGTTTTAAATGGGACAATGACTGTGGCACAGGTGCAGAGACAGGGCAGCATCGACAGATGGAAAGGGCCCAATGGCTGACTGTGTGTGGCCCCTAGGCGTGCTTTGTAAGTATTTGTTGATTTAATGAATGAATTATAACCAAGCCCAGACTGTACAACTTGGGTGCACATTCCCTGGGACCCTATTGCACAATTGAAGAGGTACAGGGGCATTCTTTTCAGCTGAAAGAAAAAGGGGCAATAGGGAGAGAGACAGAAAAGAGAGATGACGGGGCAGGTGGCATCCCTATCCCGTCTGATGCAGAGAGGGCTCCGGTGAGAAGGGGACAAGCTGTGAGGGACCCTGGACCCAAGCAGTGCCTCTCTGGGGCCCAGGGACAAGAGCTACTCAGAGTTGGGCACAGGCTCTTCTCCCCCCACACCGCTTGCCACAAGGACTGTGGAGCAGATTCGGTTTCCTGAAGGATTGGCCCATTTCACCAGCAGACAGATGCAATGCGCAGTGCATCGGCAGCATCAGGGGAGACGCTGTCAGCAGAGGGTGTCCTGGGCAATCGAACGTGGCCAGAGAAGGAGACACAAGCAGACTGGTGCTTAAACACATGAGAGACACCAGCCTCTGTCTCTTGGGCTTCCGGAAGTAACTGGAGATTTTGAGGGCAGATGGCTAAGAGCTACTATAACTTGGGCATCAATGTTAATATCACCTTGTTTGTACCTATGGGTCTGTAAGGCCTGGGACATTTGGGTTACAGAATGAATGATAAGTAAGATGAGGCAGTTCTCACTTGTTCATTCATTAAACAAATATTTATCAAACCTGGGTGTGCCATGAATCGTGCTAGATGCTGGGTGTACAATGGTTTACAAAACAGAGACAATGCTGTCACCAGGGGGCTTACCATCTAATAGTCATAGTAATCAGTCTGGCACCATCATCTGTATATGTGCTATTCAGGAAAAGTACTGGGAACCACGAGATAGTCTAACGGGAAGGATTAATATTATTATTTTTTGGCTACAGCACGTGGTTTGGGGAATCTTAGTTCCCCGACCAGGGATTGAACCCAGGCCCTCGGCAGTGAAAGCACAGAGTCCTAGCCACTGGACCACCAGGGAAATCCTGGGAAGGATTATTTTAGATTAGAGGTCAGGAAAGGACAATCTGAGAAAGTGATATTTAAACCAAGACCTGGAGATGTATAGGAGTGAGCCAGGTGAAGAGCAGGGATGTGCATTCCAGGTAGAGGGAACAGCAGGTGTGAAAGTTATGGGGACAAATCCTTTGTCATCTGGAGACTGAAAGAAGGCCAGTGGGTCAGGGGCATGAAAGCAAGGAGGAGAGAGGAACCAGAGGAGGCTGGGGAGGGAGGGAGGGGCCACACCTCACAGGGCCACATTAGGACTTTGGATTTAAACCTAAGTGCAGTGGGCAGGGGAGTGGTGCCTTCAGATTCACATTGGAGAATGTGTGGAGAATGAATTGGGGACAAGAGGGCGTGCAGGGAGAAAAGGGTGGAGGTGAATTCAGCTGCCTAAGGGAGAGATGATGGTGGCATGGCTGTGGTTATAGAAAGAAATGGAGGAGTCTAAGGAGTATTTAAGAGAATAATTGAGATGACCGGTTTTTCTTAGGTTCTTGCCTTGGTATAGACAGGCCAACTTTAGACAAAGCAAACAGCAAATATTTTGACCACGCCAGTCTGTCCCACACGTGGCCTGTTTTGCTTTAAGTTACCCGAGATCTGATGACGTCACAGGGCTATCCCCCCGGATAGCCTCCAAGCAGGATCACAGCTGATGGGAGTTTAAGGATTTCCTGAGAAAGCTTTCACCACTTCTGTAACCTCTGCTCGTGTTTACAATAATTACTGTTAGGAAATCCCTGTCTGTATTTCATCCGAATGCCTCTTGCCCTAAAGTTTCTTGATTTGAGATGGAGATGAAGATGCTAAAATAAGAAGTCTGGGCTGCCAGACGCAAATGATGTTATGACAGCTCTGAATCATGCCTGTCTATCCCACGGCCAAAGTGACTTACTTGTTAGCAACAGAGAAAAACGCCTAAATATCCCTAGAAGAGAGATTCAATTAGATTTTCGTAGACAGTTAGCTCACTGCCAAGTTCTTTGCCCTTGCTACTCAAGTGTGGTCTGTGGACCCAGCAACATCGCCTCAGAGCTTGACAGACTTGCAGGACTGAGCCAGACTCCGCATTTGAACACACTCCCCAGGCAATTCATAGGCAGGTTCATTTTGAGAAAAGCGCTGCCTCAGGTCACCCTAGGGCCATCTAAAAGTGGGTGGGCAGTGGCAGGTACAAGATATTTGAAACGCTGCGAGCCTCAGCAAGCGGTTAGGGAGACCGAAATGGTCCAACAGGAACCAGGTTTTCTCTGGAAGTTCCAGGTGGCCCCCAAGTCACGCAGAGTGAATCATTCAACCGAATTCAGAGACAATGTGTTGTTTCCTGGTTGTGTGGTTGGTGAGAGGCCCTGGGGGGACCCGCCCCTGGTGCTGAAATCCCCTTGGGTGGAGGGCAACTTCTCCTGGGCAGCACCAGAGGCCAAGGAGGGTCAGCCTCCCCTCCCCCGACAGTGTGGACAGCGCGGCCCTTGTCCTCTTAGCCTGGTCCCCGAGGGCCCTTGTTCTCTGCGGGTGGTTAGGATGACTCTCAATTCCTTCTGGATTGAGCCTCAAGATGAGCAGGGACGAGGCTGTTTGAGCACCTCAATTAAAAGCTCTGGTGGAACAGAAAGTCCAGATCCAGGGGTTCTGAGAGCTTTGCCCACACTGCGTGGTCAGCTTCTCCAGGCCAGTGACCCCCACCCTCCGCCAGAGAGGCGTGTGACACAGACACCAGACCCAGCCCAGCAAAACAAAGGCACTTGTTTTATTACTGCTTTCTTGAGGAGTGTTTCAAGGCACAAAACCCAGGCCAGAACCCAGTCGTTTCCCTCTGTCTTCCCTGGGGCTGATCCTCCCACAGAATCAGACAAATGGACCAACTTCGTGGACCGCTGAAAGCATATGGTTTGTAAGTACTGTAAAATCAAACATTACTTTGGCTTTTATTTACTGTAACCTGTTCACATCACCCAGCACCGAAACAGCTTATCCGGGCTCCTTGGCCTTTGTTCTTTTGCCTTGGTTCCTGCAGTGTCTCCTCCGTCCAGGTTCGTCCTGCCCACCAGCCTCTGTCCCTCCTGCCCGTGCCTCATCTGCCCCCAGCTTGTCACTCCAGTGTCTTCCTCACCTGTCCCACTTCACCTCCTGTCCCTCTTCCTCCCTTCGGCCTCTCACGCTGCTCCTGGATCTTTTGAAATGTCTCCGTTCCCTTCTACCTCCTGCGCTTTCACTTCCAGAGACCCCTCCTCACTCGCTGGACTCCCCCTGCCTCTCAGGCTATTTTCTCTTCCCTCCCAAGACCCACCACAGAGTCTTTTCTTTTTCTCTTTTTCTCTAAAGGCGACATGGGGATCAGAGAATGGCAGATCTCAGAGTCAACAGGCCATAGCCTACGTTACACTGACAGTTACTTCTGAGTCAGAAACCCGTTCTTCCTACGTCACCTTGGGTGATGGCTGCCCCGTCCCTCCTCAGAGCAGGAAGGGCTGGGAAGAAGAGGAAGCAACAGGTCCCCACCCACCCCGGAGCTCCTTCACCAGCACTTCCGCCTGAGCCCTTTCCTTCTGGTCTCCGTATACCCGCCCACCACTCCTCCTAGACGCCCTCCGGGCGGACACGTTTGTTCTGGCTCCCCTACGACACTGAGCTTCCTTCTCCAGTGTCCCTGCTCCCCAGCCAGGCTGATCTGCGCTTCACGCGCCCAGGCTGAGCCCTGGGAGACACGAGTCTATTTTGAGGTGAAGGAGAGACAGTGGCCGTGGGGTTCCTTCCCAGGTGCAGCTTGTGGGGCGGGGAGGCGCCAGCGGTGGCCCAACAGTTGGAGGGAACAGGAAGCTCTCTCCAAGCCAGCTGCCACCCAGGGTCATGGCCAATCAGTCAATCAACCAGTGCTCTTGAGGAGTGGGCTTCTCTCTGTGTTGCTGGGCAAAGCATCTTCAAAACACAGGAAACCAAGAGGGAGAACAAATAGAGCCCTGAAGAGACACCCCTGTAACCATAAAACAGTGGCTCTGAAATCTGCCATTCTCAGCCGGGGCTTCTCCGGGCGCTTTACAGAGTCTAGGATGCTGCTTTCTTGGTTGCTGGGGAAACAGATGTTACACTCAAGTAAGCCAGTGGGGGATTTGTGAAAAACCGCTCCGTTTCCCAGTGCTCGGTTCTCACAGGGCCTCCATTTCTCCATCGCAGCCACAGGGAAGAGAATTCGTTGGGGAACGTTCGCTTGAGGGAGAGGAAGGTCTCAGGTGAGCATCCGCCAGGGGACTAGTCTTGCCCAGGCCCCGGGACACCCCCTGCTCCAGCCCTCCCCTCCCATCCCCTCCCGCTCCCAGCTCAGAGCGGCACCTTCGTCCTCCGCCCAGCAGTGCCCACCCCGTGGGGAGAGGGGGGCAGCAGCCCCGCACACCCTCGGAGGGGGCGGGGAGCCGGACATGCAGGTAAAGGAGGACATGCCCCGCCAAGTCCAACCCCACCCTGCTTTTCTGCGTCCAACACCAGGTGTGGATCCCGCTTAGGTCCTCTCAGTCAGAATTCCCAAGACGAGGAGGGAGCAGTGCCGGCTTAAGGGCAGGAGGCATGTCGGTGTCATTTCCCTGCCTCCCACTTCCCAGCGCCCCCACTGCCTTCTGCACACCCGCTGAGGGGAGCAGAAAGATAAGTATGAATAGAATTGTCCACCTGAGCTCCTTTCATATCAACTAAGTAACCAACTAACTTGCCAATAAATTACTATTATAAATGTGTGGATACATAGGCATATATATGTGTGTGCATATGTATATATACACACATATATATATGTATGTGTAGTTCCAGATTTTCTTCCTTGTTCCATCACTTGCAGGCAGCTTCAGACAAAAGCTTCCGACCCCTCCAGAAGGGCCTCACCGGATCATGGGTGCCACGTAGTTGGCAGGGAAGAGGCCCAGCTTGTTGTGCAGGCGGCCAGTCCACCAGGATGGGTTGGAGCTGTCCAGGACCTCAACCACCTCTCCGCAGTGGAATCCCAGCTCATCATCTTCGAGAGCCTCAAAGTCGTACAGCGCCCGGGCCCACCGCACTCGCTGCTGGGGGAAAACACAGAGAGGTCCTGCTGAGCTGGGGCCGGCCGAGCTGCTTTCTGAGCCACGGGCACACGGAAGAGGATCTGCGGGCCCTGGTACCAAGACAAAGCTCTCTGTGAGCTGCCTGCCCTGAAGGCTGACGGATGGCTCTCCAGAGACATTTCAAACCCCACTGCAACTGAAAGCAGACCCGGATGCACAGCTCTGAGCAACTGAGATGTTATTCTCCAAGGCTCCAAGAGGATCCTTGAGAACTACTCTCTCTACATGAATAGGTGTTCTTTTTATTTTCTTCGACTGACAAACAGAACGCAGTGTGCCCAGACTAACAGCCCTCGATGCCAGCGCAACGGATCTCCCTCTGCTAGAATTGCAGTCAGGAAATATGAGGATCGGGCAAGGCCCGACAGCCAAACTGATAACAGCAGGCTGGGATCAGCTCTACGGGGAACTCCTGCCCCACCATCACTCGCTAAGTTCCCACCACCTCTGTGTGCAGTTTGACACACAGTCTCTCGTGGAGAGAGACTGGTCTCTCCTGGTCTCTCGTGGAGGACCAACCGTTTCTCTACTTGGCCCCTTGGCCTCCTCCACTGAGCCCAGAGAGGGAAGTTCACATACCCCGGCTGCTTGGAGTTGCACGGGGTCTGTGTGTCTCCGTTGCATGAGGGCGGCATTCATTTCGCTGCTGTTGCCCATGCCACAGTGCCCGTCGTTTATGTCCAGGCTGCCTCCACGGCGTTCCTAGAAACAGATGTGACAGAACAGCCATCACCACATCGCCGGAAGCACCCCTCACAGGCTCCCCCAGCACCTTGCTCTGATGACACGGACACAGCCAGTGCAGAAAGATGATGCCAGATTTCATTCATTCAACCAAGGAATATTTATCTGGCACCTACCATGTGTCTAGTACTGTCTTAAGCATGAGGATATGTCGCTGGAAAGAGGAGGCCCCTATCTTCACGGAACATCGGTTTAGAGGGGAACCGTACGCGTTTAAGTGACGGGTGAGCATAGAGCAGAGTGTATAAGTTGGCCTGGGTGATCAGGGAGCACATGATGCTTGGACCCCAGCTTAAAGAGGAGTAGAACTGACTAAGAAGGGGCATTTCAGGCAGAGGGGACAGCATATAAAAAGCCTCAAAAACATGAGAGAAAACGCAGTGAAAAATTCTGGTAACTAAAGGTAGTGCGGTGTTGCCAGAATGTATGTTCACGTGGCGCGGGAGCAGGGGATGGTGCTGGGGAGACAGGTAGGGGCAGCTCACAAAGGACTTTGTATGCCCTGCTGCGGAATTCAGGGCTGATGCTATCTGGCTGTATTGTCACTCTGGGCAAGCCACGTAAAATCCTACCTGGAACAAGGCGGGGGATAAATAAATAAATAAGCAAGGATCCATTTCTGGTGTTAATCCGTTTTTCTTGTAGATCTTGACAGCCAGATGGGTTAAAGGGCATGAAAAGATTTGTAATTGTGCTGATAGGAAAATGAAACAATTGTTCACTGAGTCCTCAGGGTAAGAGAGAGTGTGTGTGTGTGTTTTCAACCAGGGAGCCATTTGATTCACAGAGACTTCTTCCCCGAGAGCGGTTTCCATATTTCTGCCATCTGGGGGCCCAGGATCTTCTATATGGGCCCAGTGAGAGCTGATGGGGCCTGGCCTGGCCTGGGACGTTCCTCCCCAGCCGACAGTCCTGGACCCAAAACAGGTCCCCAGCATTTATTTGCTTTGGTTGTTTCCAGCACCGTGGGGAGTTTTCATACACTAAGTGGCAGTGGGGACAAGGTGACTGAAGCCTGGGGGGGAGAGCAGGTCCTTCTCCCCACCTCACTGTGCCCCACGTCATTCTTTCCAGATACCTGATGAAAAGGCTGCTGCTGCTGCAGGTACCGCTGCTGTGGTGGCAGTGGTGCGGGGGGATACTGCGAGGGAGGGGGCGGGGGGTGATCCGACAGCTTCCGGTTCATCGAAGGCCGGATTTCTTCTCCCACAGTCCCACTCAGGGGTAGGCCTCCCTGGGACCTCCGGTCCAGGCTGTTGCCCCGCTGACCCTGGGAGAGAACAGAGATGATGCGGATCCATCCTCCTCACGCATCTCCTGGTCCTACCCCACTCTTCTGGCAGCTGTTCCCAGACTTAGCTCATGACAGCTCCAAGAAACAGCTGATGGGGTGAGGGCAGCTTAAGGAGAATCGATGGTTCAGATCATTACGTTTTCAAAGCGACCGCTGCATTCTCAGATTCTCCCAGTTTGGGGAGTTTGGGTCTCCGGTTCACAGACTTTCCGCGTGGTACCCAACTAGCCCCTTCCTAGTGGGCTTGTTTTTCTCTGTGTAATCAAGCTTAAATGTTCCATTTTACCGACACGGTGCCACCCCTCCTTATCACATGTTGCCCCACTGCTGGACATCCTACCCTCCAGATAAGCTCTGCTATTGACTTTGCATGATTTTGAACTGTCATTTATAGCCTGGTGATGGAGACCCAAACAGCAACGCTCTTGCAGCACCATGGAAACCAGGCCTGCTGCTGGGCACGTTGGGAAGAAACAAGATCTTTCTCCTGAATGCTACCACAACCTCGTGACTCAGAGACAATTCCTTGTTATTTTTATCTAACAAACAACTACACAGGGCCCTCGGCTTAGTATATGCCAGGCACTGCGCTAAGCACTTTGCAAAATGAACTCATTAAATCCAGTTTAATGCATTTTTATATTTCCTCTTTCACCTGCGTGTGCACATCCTAATAAATGAATACCTCTGTCCATTTCCTGGTTAAAAGAATTTACAAGGTGGGGGTTTAACCTTTGCTTATCTTTCTAAATTTCTCTCTGCATTTGGGAACACTCTTTCCTCCTTTGATTGTAACTTCTCAGGCTTAAAATCAACCCATTACTTGCAAGGGATGGTTTTCTTTACTTCCCTGAAGCACATGTTGCTTTGAAAGTCTCAATGTCTTTTCAAATAACCTGTCGCTGGGATTTCAACTCTTCTAGTCAATGCTTGTTCCTGTAATACCCATCTCCTATAACCATGTTATTTCCTTTGAAACATATTGCATAGATTGTGTGTGTGTGAATTTACTTATGGAGGCTAGTTAACATTTCCTTAGTGCCGACTATGGACCAGACCCTGTGGCAAGGCCTGTAATGATGTCTCATTTATCCTCACAACAGCCCAATGAGGGAGGCGTTATAGTCTCTCCATTCTATGGATGAGAAAAACCGGTACTCAGAAAGTTTTCTTCTCTTGCAATGAAATCAGGTTTTAAAGAAAGCCAGGTCTGTCGGATGCATCTTCTTTAAAACAATACTTCATATCCCAAACTGTTCCAAGAGCAAGAATGCCACCTCCAGTTTTCTCCTCCAATGCCCCCTGCTTCTACCCTCCCCCATCTCCAAATTCGGCCACAAAGCTCTACCTGCTGCATTAGTCATGGACTCTAGGCTCTAATATCCCCATGTAGAGTGCCCCCCCATCCTCCCCGCACCTTCATCCTTGGGCGGCTCCTGAGCTAGGCTGAAAACTGTGACATAGTAACATCTGTGAATAACAAAATAAGAGCGTAATAAGAGCCCATGTGTACCGAGTGCCTGTGGCGTGATTAGGAATGATGCAAGGAATGGGGATACATGATCTTCTCTAACCTTCACACCACCCTATGTGGTAGCTGTCACTATTATCTCGATTTTAATGGATGAGGAAACTGAAGATTAGAGAACTTTCCAAAGTCACATACCTAGGAAGTGCTAAGCTAGGATTTAAACTGAGATCTCTGCCTTTCAGAATACGCAGGGACTTGCCCATCAGATGCATGGTCTTGGTGGTTCGTGTAGGACCCGAGCTGCCCAGAATCTCTGGACTGGGGCCAATGGGGACCTGCAGCATACCTGTTCCTCCCGGGTCCTATCCCTCAGAAAGATCTGCTTCTGTTTGGAGATGGAAGTCGTCCTGTAGTAGTCCACCAGCTTGTTGAGGGATGGAAACTTCTCTGTCCACAGGAAGTAATTACCCTTGTTGTCTTTCATGACTTTGAAGTGCTGAACATCACCCTCATGCCTACGGATCAAGGCAAATCCAAATTGTCTATTACATGGTGACCATGTCCTTGCCTCCAGGGCTGACTGTATCCAGGGATGCTGGAGTTCTGTTTGGGCAGGGAGCAGAGGTATGGGTGGTTGGCCCATTCCTGGGCAGGTGGGCTGGCCCAGGCAAACTCCAGGGGGAGATCTGTGGGAGGGACGGCTCCGGACACAGGCTGAGCTAGAGGGGATTTTTTTTTTTTTTTTTTTTTTTTTTTAACATGAGGAGAAGGTAATCTTTCCTCTGACACTGGAACTGACCTTTTATAAGAAAAAAATGTTCCCAGTGCTTTAAAGACTACAAGGTCAAGGACTTTTTTTTTACAATGTTTATTTGAAACATGGCAACACCTAAGAACTTACCAGGCTAAGGACTCTGCCAAGATTCAGAGGAGAGGGGTTTTTCAAGCCCTCGTTACCTGTCTGTTAACAGAAAATAGTTTGAACCAGCTCCTTTAAGCCCATAAACTACCCTGAGAAATCTGCCACGCTTTGTTCTCTACATAATGGGTATCTCTTGGTCTTGTTTTGCATAAATAAGGTTACAAAGTATTTTGAGCTTTTGGGAAAGAATGTGCTGAGCCTCAAAGAGGTGGAGGGGCCTTGTCAAGGTCACTGTGAGTGAGTGGCAGAGCTGAGACAAGGACCCGGGGTCTCTGATTCCAGTCTAATGAGCTGGGCCTGTCACACCATGCACACGTGCTAACTTCTTTTGGTTTTTATTTATTTTTTTTTCATGCTAACTTCTTTTAGATCAGCACCTTTGACACCAGCTGGACTCACAAGCAATGGAGCATGCTTGTATCAGGGATGGAGAAATTGGATTTTATTCATTGGAAAGAGGGGACTGGGCCTTTACTAATAGCTCCAGCCTTTTTCCATCACCAAGTCATTCTTGTTGGGATGTCAAGTTTTTTTTTTTTTGTCAAATGGATACACATTTATGTCTAAAAATAAACTGGCGTTAATGATACCAGTTGCCTGACGGCAGAAGAAAGGTCACAAACTTAAAGCATGTTGAAGAGTAAAGATACCTCGTTCTTAGGGATGGATTTCGTGGTCTGTGTTCAGAGGGGACAGGAATTCTTTTTTTTAAATTTACTTAATTAATTAATTAATTTATTTATTCTTGGCTGCATTGGGTTTTTGTTGCTGAGTGCAGACTTTCTCTAGTTGCAGCGAGCGGGGGCTACTCTTCGTTGCGATGTGTGGGCTTCTCATTGCCATGGCTTCTCTTGTTGCAGAGCACGGGTTCTAAGCGTGCAGGCTTCAGTAGTTGTGGCACACGGGCTCTAGAGCACAGGCTCAGTAGTTGTGGCTCACTGGCGTTGTTGCTCTGCGGTATGTGGGATCCTCCCGGACCAGGGCTCGAACCCGTGTCCCCTGCATTGGCAGGCAGATTCTTAACCACTGCGCCACCAGGGAAGCCAGGAGACAGGAATTCTGATCTTCCTTCTCATCTTTTGTGTGGGTCTCTGCTCATAGCCAGGTGAACCCATGCAGTGACCTCTGCTTAACCACCTTGGGGGGTCATAGCCAACACTTTGGCAATCATTGCTTGCTCTTCCCCTTTTGGCTGTGGTCACTCACATATGCTTTCTTCAGGGCCACACCACGTGGCTCAACGCACAGCCGTCACTACCCACATCGGGGTGAGGAGGAGGAAATATTCTTGTGAAACAATTATTCATCCACCACCTCTTAGTCAAAGAACTCAGAATGAGAAACATTAACCCTTTCACCCCCATGTGCTGAGAGGATGGATGTCAGGGCTGTAGTGGGTCATCTGGGTGCTGGAGAGAGAGTGGCTGGACCACTGTCTCGAGTTCTGAGAGGGGCAGAGAAAGGGTGTAATTCAGGGCTCCAGACTCTAAAGCCTAGTATTTCAGATACCAGTGATAGAACTACAATTAGCTCTTAATTATCTGTGCCCATGACAGAAAGCAGACGTATAAATAAATAGAAATGATTCTGCTTTGGAATACATTATACTACATTTCTGCAGAAGAGGCAATACCGATTACAGCAATAATCACCATCACGAGAAGATGCACGGCCTCAACGGCAGGGGAAGACTGTAGCAGACGTCAAGGCTGATGGCTTTTTGTAGAATTCAATTTAATCAAGGAACTAGAAACCCTAATTCCTCACTGAAAAAGCCAGACTCAGCAACATCATGCAAACCAAAGGCACCAAGAAATGCCTTTCAGTCGAACAATTTGCTTGGTCTTGCCTCGAATTGTGGCCCTTAAGAAATAGGCTTGACCTGCAAGATTTATTAATAGAGCAAAATCTCATTAATTAAGACCTAACAAGTTTAGAATTTGTGATATATCAATATTGGCCTGAGCTAAAATTTACCATCACCCAAGATGTGAAAAAGGAAGCTTTAGTTAAGGGAAATGAAGAGTTTAAGTCAGCCTGCAAGGGCAATGCTTAGGAGACCAAGCTATTCTTGAGCAGGTTGGGGGCACAAATGCATACAAATGGTTGACCCATTATTTTTAAGTCCTTCCTACTTATTCCTTACAGGACACTTTCTTTCTAAATAGTAAAGTGGCCTCCGTTTATTACCCGAGATTGGATTTATGAACTTAAAGCTGCACGCCTTTCAGATTATATTGCGGAATCCAGACAGCACTTCTGGTCAGGTAACTTGACAGTGAGGTTTCCCTGTACAGGTTGTCGCGCCAACCCCTGTACTGCTATCACCATAATTCTTGCACTTTCACATGTGGTCATCAAGTCTGATGTGTGACTTGAGATCCCCAACACGCTGACCACATGCTGTGTGTTCAGACTTGGGGCTTCTGCGTGTGGGGCTGTGTCGTGTTAAAATGAGTCACTTCCCCCCAGGGGTGCTGCACATTAACGAGATTTTGCTGTCACAGTCCCCTCACCCCAGGACTCCTGGGCTCTGCTCTGTTCCTGTCAGTTTTGCTGCATTACGGGGCATGGAGGTAGCCTTTTTGTTTTGTGCAGCCACTTACAACTACGGATGTGTCCTACGGCGGTGACTTGGGTTTTGATTTTTCTCTACCCTTCTTCAAACAAGCATCAGTAGTAAAAGAAAACGTTAAGATCGCAACACCAAGGCGGATGTGGACAGTTGGGAATTCTCTTTTCCTCCTCCATTCCCATGCCTTCCACAGATACTCATCCAGCACCTACTGGGTGCAGGGTGCTGTAAAAGCCACAGAGACGAAGTTGATAAAAATCCTCTCTTTCCAGAAGCACCTGGGCTGGAGGGGGAGGCAGACGAACGCACATGTAATTTGGGCCACAAACTAAGGAGTTGTGTACGTGTGTTATGGAAAGAAAATGCACAGCATCACAGTTGATAAGATGCCTGGGCCCCTTGGCTGCCATGCTCCTGAGGAATAGGTCATGTTCAAGAGGTCACCTTGCTGCTTTAATGCTTTAGTAGGTCAGGGAGGAGTCAGGAACAGCCGGTACCTGACAGATATGGAGAAGTCCCCTGGGGAGCTCTGGCTGGCCCGGATGATGAAGCAACCAACCTCCTTGCCCATCAGCAAGCTCTCTGCCTGGTGTCGTGAGAGGCCTTCATGAAACCATCTATCAGGTGAGACAAAAGCAGAGGATCTTGGTGAGACGCCAGAGTGATGGTAGGGGTGAGGGTAGGGAGGGAAGGAAGTAGGGGAGAGATGACCCAAAGGGAGAGAGGCTGGGGACTGCTCAGCAGAGAGCAGACAGAGACCAAAGAGGGGCCAGGTGCTTTTGAAACTAAACAAACGCTCCAGCAGTTTGCAGGCAAGGCAAGTGAGTGTTCCCCTTGAGGCACCTCCTGTCTCGTCCCCCCAGGAGAAGTCTCTCTCCTGCTTGGAAATCCTGAATCATGGAAATGTGCCACTGCACCAAACGGGACAGCGTGTGAGTCACTCACTGCGGGGAGTGGCTTCCTGCAGGCAGCTGTGAGAGGGATGTCTCTAGAAAAGAACTGCAGGGACAGGGACCCCTTGGGGCACTGGAGGCAATGGGCAGGGCCTTGGGTGCCAGCTCCGGGCTGAGACCTTGGTGGCCAGGAAAGAGAGTCACAGCCCAGGTCCCCTGGGTGGCGTGGGGCGGGAACAGCTGTGCTCCCTGCCTGGCAGAGGCTGCAGGGCACCCAGGGAGGCCCGCACACACACTTGGAAATAAGCAAGGCTGGTAGCAGCCAGAGAGAGGCATCTACACAGCCAGCTCCTGGGCCCTCCCCAAAAACCAGGCTGGAAAATAATCTTTACCCTGGAAAAGAAGAAACCAAGGAGAAACTGCTCTTTCAGGCTGGCAGCCTTTGGAAGCATTGCTGCAGGGGGTACAGCGTATATGAAAAAGGCCAAACACTTGCACAGGGGCAAGTCAAACAGTGGCTACAGCCACGGGGCAGGAGGCCAGAAACCTCTCTCAACCATAGAGAAGTGGAACAAGTGTTTGCAATCCCTCAGCAGCCAAAGGTAGGGTGGTGTCCTTCTGCTGCAAGGTGCCTGCTCTAATTGCCACCCCTGGAAAGCCAGTATGTGTGTCCCTTTAAGATGAAGGTCCAACGGGCCACAGCTTTGGATTCCTTTGTGAGCAGTTCCCTGTGCTCTTTGGAATGTAGGAACTGAACAGACATGGGTGGCGGAAGAATGTCCTTCCTCCAGACCTGGGACTTGCAGGGGAAGGTTGGTCGGGCTCTGAGGGGAGCCTGGAGATCTGCCTGGAGATCCTGCCAGGGTGTTTGCCATGCAAACCTACCACGGTGATGAGTGGCTACCACAGGAAATGTAATGGGGAGGGGAAGAGAATGGGACCCGCTCCACAGCAGCCATCCTCAGAGGAGTTATCTCGGAAGAGGCGGCAAACAGTGAGGGGACTCTTTAGAAAATACACACTTGTCCTCCATCTGGAATTTGATAAGTGACTTCCCTCAAGACTTGCAAAAATGTCCACACCCTGCATATGAAACGAGTGCCAGGTTTTCCTATTACACATCGTTCCAAAAGCTATTCATTCATAGCTAACAGCTTTTATTAAACATCTACTCTGTGCTGAGCCTCCTTCTGGGGATATAGCGGATACAGTGGTGAGCAGCACAGACAAGGACCCTCATGGAACTTCTTTAGTGCGGTGGGGAGAGACACACCATAAACAACAAAGTAATAAGAATATTAAGCGTGTCAGCTGATGTAAGTGCTGTGGAGGAAATGAAAACAGAGGAGAGATGGGGTGGGGGAGTCATTCAAAATATGGTGATCGGGGGGGTCTCACTGGGAGGACGACATTCTAACTGTAAAGGAGACGGGGGAGGCGAGGAGAAACTGGCAAAGGAGTCGGGGAAGGAGCAGCCAGGGAGGCGGGAAGAGAACCAGGAAGAAGGATGTTCTGGAAGCCAAAGGAAGAGGGAGAGATTCCCCACATCGAATCGTGCTGACGTGATGGCCTACGATCAGCCACTGGGACCAGCAGTTCACGGTGACCTTGAAGTTGTGTGGGTTCTGGGGAGAATGGTAGGAGAGGACTTTAGGACGGCAAATATAACGGTTCTTATGAAGAAATGGAGTCGTAGCTGGAAGGGGGTTTGGGATCAAGGGTTTTGCTGTTTGGTTTCGCTTTTTGGTTTTTGGTAAGATGGGAGAAACTGCGACATCTTTGTTTGCTGCCGGGAATGATCTGGCAGAGAGGGAGGCAAGTTGATGCGCGAGAGAGGGGAGAACTTCTGCTCGAAGCGCAGATGGTTCTTTCCAAACAACTGCAGGAAAGGCAGTGTCTGCACAGTTGCAGGATGTGGGTGGATGCAGCGAGTCAGGTCGGGTGGGGTTGAGGGGCTTTTCTGGGGGCCTCCGCTGTCCTGGAAGCCAGGCCATCCGCCGAGAGTGCGGTGGAAGAGGGGCTGCAGGTGTGCCGTGCTCACCTAGAAGATGACAGGGCAGCCTCAGGGGCCCCCTGGCTGAGGTCAGTGGTCATTCTATTGGTTCAGTGGTCACTTTGCTCTTCGGCTAGACCCTGACCCTTACACAACGTTAGATTTCTATCTCACCCCTGTGGTCAATTCTTGAGGCACACGTGACCCAATCTCAATTTTTCGTTTCCTCTTTATGGAGGGAATTTCCCTGACCTCTCTCACTGGTGCGAACATGGTTTCAGGAAGGCCGAGAGCTTCGTCCTCCTGGTTGGGATGGAGGGTGGGTTGGGAGATAAAAGAGAAGAGGCCTGAAGGAGCAGCTGTTGAGGTGGAGTGGCCGACAGCGCACCCCGCGCACCCCCGGAATTCTTGGAAACCCCATGGTTGCAACTATACATGATGTTAGTTTATAAACTTAAAATAGGTGATTCTTTTTTTTTTTTTTGCGGTACGCGGGTCTCTCACTGTTGTGGCCTCTCCCGTTGTGGAGCACAGGCTCCGGACACGCAGGCTCAGCGGCCATGGCTCACGTGCCCAGACGCTCCGCGGCATGTGGGATCTTCCCGAACTGGGGCACGAACCCGTGTCCCCTGCATCGGCAGGCGGACTCTCAACCACTGCGCCACCAGGGAAGCCCAAAATAGGTGACTCTTGCCCATGGTATAAAATTCAAACGAGAATGCTGTGCAATGCGAATCTCCCTCCCACCCCTGGCCTTCAGCTGGGTGGTTCCCTCTCCAGAGGCAACCATTTTTGACAGCGTCCGGGCTGTGCCGGGATAATTTTAGTGGCTGCTGCAGTAAAGGGGAGTGTGTGGGGCAGGCCCATCTCAGCAGGCTGGAAATACTTACTCAGGAAACTTGATGTCTATAAAATTCTTGGGCACGTATCCTTCTTGGCTCCTAAGCTCCGCCTTGAACCACTCCTCTTGGTTACTTAAGATCTACAGGGAGGAGAAGGAAGGACAAAGACACTGTGGGGAGGACTCCAAGGAGCGGGAGAAAGGGGTTGCAGGGCAAAGAAAGCGCTCTGGGATTTAGAGGAAAATAAGCCGAAGAAGCCACACAGCCGCTCGAGTGGGGAGCGGCTGGCTTACCTTTGGAGTTTGGCTTCCCTTGACCCCAAGCTATTTCTGTCCACGTGGGCCACCCACTCATATGACCGCACCTGGCCTGACCTCCCAGACTCAGGACTCAGGGGCTTCCCTGAACTCCTTTTCTCCTTCTGTTTGGAAGATTTGTGTCCCAGATCTTAGCACTTTAAGCTCCTTATCTAGGCAGGTAGTTGCTCCTTCTCTGCCAGGTAACAAGGAACCTTTTACAATTTTAATTTGCTCTTCCTTTTTTACACCAGCAGATTAAAACGTAAACATCAAGCGGGGGGCAGCTTTGAAAACAGTAACTCTTGGTGTTCACACTCCATATTTTCACAAAGAGCTTGGACATAACTCAAGATACCTGGAATGCCTTTTCTAAACTTGCTTTTAGACCCAGATCACAGGCAAATCCAGAAGTTCTGTCTCATTACTGTAGGGTCTTACCTCGACCACGACCCCAAATGTCATCACCTGCCCTGATTACTCATCTGACCCTCCAGATGTGGCTCTATGTGGCTTCTGGTTATTTCAGAAAATCTTTTACCATCAAAAGACAAATATCTGCCCCCCCCCCCACTGAGAACGTTTCTAAAATATGTAGCGCAGACTCAACAATAATTCAAAATGAAGATGGCAGAACAAAAAGATGGGAAGAAACTTGGCGATGTCATGGAGCCGCTGAATCAGCCACGCAGGAGCCCTCCTACTTCTGGACTTTGCAGGAGAAATTATAAATCTTCTGTTGTCGTTTAAGCCAATTTTAGTTTCTGTTTCTTGTAGCTGAAAATGTCATACAATAATAAAGAGGATAGCAGAAGATGGATAGGAAAGGTTGCTCAGAGGAGAGGCCATCTGGGTTGCCCAGACAATGAAAGGAGCTACCCAGGCAAAGTCTGATGGCAAAAGAGCTACTTCTGGGGAGTGAGGAAGGAAGGTGCATTCTGGGGACAGAACACCTCGGTCAGGGGACAGTTTAGATTGTGACTCCAGGAGAAGAGAGAGGGGAAACCAGGGGCACAGGGCCTTGTAGCCCACGTTGAAAAGCATGGATTTTCATCTTGAAACGTATGGGGAGCCATGAAAGGATTTTCAGCAGGGAAATAGCACAGCGAGAATCAGAGTTAAGAATGGCATGCTGTATCAGAGCGTGAAGATGGATTGGGAGGTAAAGTCAGGGGAGAAAGTGTAGGAAGACGCGTGTAGCCATCTAGGCAAGAGACGAAGGGGATCTGGCCTGAGAACAGGTGAGGACAGATTTCAGAGGAATCAGGAAGCACAAACGGGCAGGACTTCCTGACTGTTCGCAGAGCCTAGGGAGAAGGGGAATTCTGGGATGGCTCCGGATTTCTGGCTTGGGAGACTGAGTGGGTGGCAATGCCTTTACTAAAATAGAAAATACAGGAGGAGGAGCAGGTCTGAGGGAAAACTCACAGACTTCAGGTCGCCTGTACGGGAATCAAGTTGCCCCGGGACGCTCTGAGAAGGAAGGATTAGCGAGCGTTGGAGATGTGTGTGGGGCTCAGCGGAGAAGTGGGGGCTGGAGCTAGATTTCGGAGTCGATTCATCCAAAAGTGGGTGGACTTGAAGCCTCTGGTTTCTCGCTCCCAGAGATGGGAAGAGAGCTGAAGAGAGCTAAGTAATTGAGAAGCAGGGTTGACCTATTTCTAATATCCCTCCTGAGTCCGGGATGAGAAGACCTGGGGTCTAGCTTGGTCCTGTCACTAGCTGTCTGACCTCAGGCGAGTCAACTACCATCTACCAAATGGGGGCAATAAAAACTGGCCGGCGCCTCGCGGAGCTGATGCAAGGATCAAACGCGCCCTGGGAACTGGACGTCCTTCAGAGAGTACAGGCTGTGTCTTTAAATGTAATTCTGTAAAACGTGATATTCTTATGGGAGAGAACTCCAGCTCTGAAGGACACGGAAGGGTTTATAAGTTCTTTAAAGTGTTATATGTGTATGTTTTGAATGTAATCACGTGTTCTGAAGAAATAAAAGTGTGTCCCATGTTTGAGTTCTAGAACTGCTGAGAAAAGAAAACTCTATAGTTTCCGACATCAAATGTGACTGTCGGCATCACTAAGGGTGTGTGGGTACGCGTGTGGCGAGGGGCCTGTGGGGAAGGTGGGAAATCTAGGTCAAAGGAGGAACCAGGGAGCTCAGCAGCCGGGCCTGGCTGCACATAAGGAACGCGGGGGCATTTCACTCTGCGCCAGGCGTAAAGGCTTTGGAATTCCTTTCTCCCGTCACATGGGAAGGTGATGTGCCGCTTGGGTAGCAGCAGTCAAGTATCAGGGTGAGCAGGGATGAGGTAAAAGGCCATTTGGAAATCGATGCTGCACGGTAAGAACCACACTTCGCACTGAGCTCTCTGACCCCAAACCGGCTGTAATTTTAGTAATCGTGGCTCATACCCAGCTACCCCCTCTAGCAACCGAAGATTGTCCCATGGTGCCAGCCATTTTCCCCACCACTCGGTGCTCGGTCGGCCTGAGATCATGTTCCCAGAGAGGCGCATTTATCGGCTTTCTGTGGTGTATAGAAGGCAAGGTTTTAAAAAGACCTCATTTTCTGCAAAGAAGAGTCTTTGGGGGGAGGTGTTTTCCTCCTGCTGTTGTTGGCTCAGGGCCCATACTTCCTCTTCCTCTCATCTCTCCGTCTCCTCCGTCCCCCTATCTCTTTTCCCCATCTTGCAGATCTGGGCAGGTTCAGCCTAAACGCCTGAGGTTTTACCCTTAGCTTTGCTGTGACTTAATTCTTACAACGTTGCCTACCGGAATCATTTTCTGGGTTACATGGCCTGAGAATAAGTTAGACGTGGGAAGAAGACAAAATGTACGGTTGGGTGAATTTTAAAACTGGATGAAATTATAGCTCTTAGAGGCATAGCAGAAATCCGAAGTGCTGAAGAAGTTAATTACGTAGGTCTAACTCTGGGGGCTTTTCGGTTGCTGTTTTTGTAGGAAGAAACGGGGTCGTGTTAGACGTATTACAGAAGCAGGTAGAGATGGCCTGGGTCGAGAGACATTTTTTCATAATGACCGGCAGATTCGAGTGGGAAAAGTAAGTTGCGAGGTGTGTGCAGCTGCGGGTCCAGAGGGGCTGATATGAACACGAAACATCCAACCCCTGACTTTTGGGATGTGTCTTGCACAGGAGAAACGGGATCGAGTCATTTGGCCAGAGTTCTGTGTCCAGCATCTTGTTCACCATTCTGGGATCAGCATCTAGTGAGCACCTGCTGTTTGTACTTAGGTGCCGGGAATACAGAGATGAACAAGCTGGGGCCTGCGCCCCGGGGAACTCAAAGTCTGCAGGGGGCGGTTGACGGTAAGCGAGACATTTTGTGTACCTTCTAATGAAAATGTCTGTTTAGTCTTTTAGCACTAAAGGCCAAACACGAAAGAACATTCCATGAGTGAATTGCCGGGGCAGTTAAGAGCTAGCCTTGAAAACAATTTCCAAAAAAAAAAAAAAAAAAAGAAAAGAAAAGAAAAGAAAACAATTTCCAGGATCCTGGGGCTTGTTAGCCATCTCCGGAGGAGACGGTTGTACGTGGAGACCTACAGGCAGGCCCACTGACCACCATGATACAGGCCTTCTGGAGGCTCAGCCGACAAGCCCCCTCCCCTTTCCTCTTTACCCCTGTGGCTGCAATGGATAGAATTTGAAAAGAAGGAGGGGTCTGGCTTTCTGATGGAATTCTAAATGAGTGTGCAGAAACGCAGTTAACAATTCAAGACATATGTACCGAGCCCCTACCTGGGGCCGTGACTTGTGTTAGATGCTGGGAATATACAAAGATGAACCTGGCAAAGCTCTGCTCTCACACCAGCGGAGGGATCACCCATTCACTCATTCATCGAATGTTCATCATCCTTCTGTTGTTCTGGACACCGAGGCAGGCCCGGCCCCAACCTGCGCAGAGCTCTGGGGAGTGGAACAGCCACCATGTGCGCGGACAATCAGGACGGCACGGGGCAAGGGCCGCAGTAGAGGTGGGTACTCAGGGTGCAGAGAGCCGAAGCTCGGCCTGCTTGTAAATAACTGTCCTGTGAGGCGGGGGTGTGAGTGCCTTGAACAGTGTGTGAAATGCTGTGGAGGAGCTGAAGAGGGAGTATTTAATCTGCCGGGGTGGTCAGGAGCAGGGAGGATTAGTGAGGGCTCCCCGGTAGAGGTGGTCAAATATGTGTGTGTGGGAGAAGGGCATTCAGAATACGGGGAGAGCATGAAAAAGGAGAGTTTGTATATTACAACGTGACCTGGGGCATTTCATACACAAAGATGTGTGTGTGTGTGTGTGTGTGTGTGTCGCATGTGTGTATGTATGTATGTATATGTGTATGTATGTGTACATGTTCTTGCACGTGAGCATGATGAGGTTGGGCAGTAGTCTGGGGCCAGATGCCTTAGATTTCCATCAACTGGTCATGGGCAACCACTGAACGCTTCTGAGTAAGGAAGTAATATGATCTGATTTATCTTCTGAAAAGATCCTTCTGGGACTGGTACGTAGAATGAAGGAGGAAGAGACGGGAGGCAATGAGGTCAGTCAAGGGAACATAACAATAGTCTGAACAGTCAGAGGCAGCAGGAATTGGGTGATATTGACAATACGGTGATCATTTATTGAGCATCCAATTTGGGCTGGGACCATTACCCCTAATCCTTTTTATAACCCTGCAAGATAGGCATGGCCTCCACTTATAGATGAAGACACTGAAGCTCAGAGGGGGCAAGTGACTGACCCACAGCCACACAGCTAATGGGCTGGGACTCAAACTCAGATTTATCTGGCTCCAAAGTCCATGCTCCTTTTTATTGCAGCAGACTCCTCTCCAGTGAAGAAGGGATTGCTTGGGAGATATGATAAAAGAAAAATATTCAGAGCAGAGAACAATGTTTAGGTGTGGGACAGAGCTTCATTCAGATACAGGAGAGGGGCAGTTAGCAGTGTCTAATCCTACAGGGGTTTAGTAGGGTCCTTACATTCCACAATGAGAAGATCACCAGTGGACTTTAAGGGAGTGTTGGGGGGTAAAAGACAGATTCCAGAGGGTTCCAGTGGCGTGAACAGGAAGTGAGGGAGTGGAGGCACCCAGCATAGAGAATTCTTCCCAGTGCTGGCAGTGAGGAGAAGAAAGAAATTAGGAGCTGAACAGAGAAGCAGATTTGAGGAAAGTTTTTTTTTTTTTTCCTTTTTCCTTTTCTGGGGAATAGGGAACATTTAAGCCAGATAGTAGGTTCTGTTTGAAATGGGAGATGAGGGACGCAGCTTGCCCCCAAACCCCCAGGGAGGTTCTCTTTTGGGTGAAAACACTGGAGAATGGTAGATAATCACATGGTCACAATACCCCACAAGGAAGGGAGGGACTGCTCACCTTGTCACAGACCCCTCTGTGACCTTGGTAAGATCCCAAGGAAGTGAAGGTCACTTTTTCCTGGGTCAGCAGCCCAAGCAATATTTTGACCTTGAGAAGTTCCAACATGGAAGGCATACTCTTGGCAGCCACATTACCAGATCTTGCAAGATGAGAGCAGTCAGAGGGATAAACATTGGGGGGTTAAAATTCCAAACCACGTCATTCCACCTGGTTTGTGCTCCACAGACACTTTCCGAGTCACCCTCTCACGTATGATAGGGTTCTTTCCATAGCAAGCATTTATCTTCGTGGAGAGACAACGGTGGTCTCAGTACCACTGAGCAGTCTCAGGAGGCCCATATGGGTTGCTGAGGACCAGGGATCGGGGTATCCGAGGTGCTCTGAGGCCAGGAAGGGGGACATAGGTGCCAGAGATTCCCCAGTGGCCTCTTGAAGGACTCCTATGCTATTTTGCACAAAACAGGGGCTAAGATGCAGAGTCCGTAAGCATGGTGCATGAAATGTGGGAGGAGTCCAAGGCCTCTTCAGTTCAGCAAGTGGCCACTACAACTCAAGTGCAGGCGGAAGAAAAGTTGTAAGGAACACCTGAGTGGTGGGTGTGCATGGCCTTTGTTGACCTGCATCTCCTCCAGCTGACTTTCCAGGTGTCCCTATCCATACCTTCCTCCTATAAGTTCCAGCCGTGCTGAAACTCACAATGCTGACCTAATTCTGCCTGGGCTTGCCCACCTCTGAGCTTTAGCCAAAAGCCCAAATCATCTTCATTGTGTTCCCTGACAACTGATGTTGCCACCCGTTCCTACAACCCCATCTTTCAAGGTGGGATCACTTGTCCCCTCACCTGTGCTCCTGGGCACTCAGATAAGACCATCTGTGACAGCCCTTTGGATGGATTTGTTTCCCCCTCCAGACCATGAGCATCTCAGGACAAGGATGGTGGCTTATGCCAATTGGATTTCCATCACCCGGCCTGGTAGCTGGTGCACAGGTGCTCAGAAGGAACCCTTTTGAATGAGGCAAACTTCACATTTTGAAAGGAACTGTGTGTATTTCTTGAGAAACAAAGGATGGATTGTTAGATTAACTCAGTGGCTAAACCGGAGTAACCTAAACTCTCCCCGGCTCTCCCGGCTCCCGCGTCACCTACCTTCAGAACATCTCCAGCGTGAAAGCTCAGTTCATCCTCTCCTGAGGCCATGAAATCAAACTTGGCAATGGCTTCCATGTTGTAACGTGGAGCTGGAAGGGAAATAATGTGGTCATTGTGCCTTTCTGCCAGGAGGAGGGCAGTCTTAGCAGTTGGTGGAGAGGGTCTAAGGTCTCCAGGCCAGAGAGGAAGGCGTAGGCACACAGTGAGGGCTTTTGTTTTCAGAAAAAGCTGCACGAGCTGCTAGGATCCCCTTCCCGGCATCATTCTGTGAATCCCCAGATGCCAGGAGCAGGAAATGAAGGCCAGCAACCGCCTTTCCCCTTCTCCTTTCATCCCCATTTGCTGTCCTGGCCTGTAAGCGTTTCTGGGGCATCTCTGTTTCCGGTTGATAAGGACAGAAGACTTGCTATCATCTCTAACTTGAGGCCTGGGGGCCTGGAAAGACTGTTCTGTAAACACTATCCCAAGGCTGTCCCTCGACAGCTATATTTAGCCAGGCGGTGTCAATTAGACAGATGCCATTTTCTCTTTTACATCTGAATCATTTAAGAGAATTAGACAGCATTGGTCAGTGGGGAACTTAGCGGCCTTCTACATGGTTTGAGAGTGGAAAGCATTCTGGTTTTAGAATTGGGAGACTAAATGAGTCAGATTCCTTATTTTATTATTATTGTGTAAACCAAGGACATTTTGGAAATTTGCCCTTTAATACCTCTGAATTGAGTTAAAACATTGGCTCCTCCTAGTAATACATGAGACCTATGTAAAGATAAATAAGTCAGCCCACAAATGAAATATGGTTGGTTTTTTTAGGAGGCAGTGGGGTTGTAATAGAAAGAGAGCAGAGTCCTGGTTGTGTCCGTGAACAGCTGTGTGATCTGTGCGAGTACTAAACCTCTTGGAGCCTCAGTTTCCTCGTTCGTAAAATGGGAATCATAATGTTCAACCAATAAGGATGTAAGATGAAGTTAAAGAATAGATGCAAAATGTTATACAAGATAAAGTTGAATAGCAGAGCATTTATATTTTAGAATAACGTTATGGAATGAATTTAGCCTCAGCAAAGGCAGCCTAGCCAAAAGCCACAAAAATGTTCTTCTGATTTCTCCCACCTCCTCTAAACTTTTCTCATTGCAATTTGAGGCTTGGGCTTCCCTGGTGGCGCAGGGGTTGAGAATCTGCCTGCCGATGCAGGGGACACGGGTTCGAGCCCTGGTCTGTGAAGATCCCACGTGCCGCGGAGCAACTAGGCCCGTGAGCCACAATTACTGAGCCTGTGACAGTGAGAGGCCCGTGCACCGTGATGAAGAGTGGCCCCAGCTCACCGCAACTAGAGAAAGCCCTCGCATAGAAACGAAGACCCAACGCAGCCCAAAATACATAAATTAATTAATTAAAAAAGGAAAAAAGAAATTTGAGGCTTATTCCCTAGGACGCTCAAGTTCTTTGGTTCTCTGCTAACTGTCAAGGACACCGTCTTGAGAGCTATTGTTTGGCATTTATGTTTTGCAAAATTTGCTTAAGTCTGAAACCCTGTAGGTTAGAAACCCTCAAACCTAACTGACTTTCAGTGACCAGGAAACTGGGACCACAATTATCCTCTCAGTGGGAATTTCTGCCCAAGTGACGGGATTTAGGTAAATAAGGAAGGTGGCTGCCAGTGGGAGGGGGCGGCACCCAGAGATCAGGGGATTAAAGCGGACTGCAACCCTGGTGATGGCAAGGGGCGCCTTCCTCTGATTTTCCACATTTGCTTGGTCTTCCAAAGGCAATTTATAGAGGTGAGTATTACCAATCCCAAAGACAGATATTAAGCAAAAAATAGTTCAGGATCCAAAGGAAAATGTCATAGCTCACTGTCTGAGCTTTATCACCAGCCAAAACTTATATCCAAACCCAAAATATATATACTTTTTGTGCACTTTCTTCAAGATCTGTCCGTCTAAGGCAAATTAAAATTTTTGTGACCTAGGATGACCCACTCAACAGGAAGAAGTATTCTGTCCTCCTGAGTGAAAGCTAAATGCCTTTGCTGACTTGATTCACCCCATTACTTTAACATGCAAAGCTTTCCCTAATTAAGGCCTTGCCTCTGGTGTGCAGGAAAATGGGCTTCTGTGGGTCACCCACATGGTATCGGCAGCAGACACTGGTCACATCAAGAGATCAAGTGTCAGGTGAATAGTCCTAAAAACCAAGATCCCATTTCTATGCAAATTTACCTTAATAAGCAGGATGGAGACAAGGGGAGGGCAAATGCTAAACATATTAGAAAGTCACATACATTAGAGATGGAAAAAAATATCCAACGCATGCTCTAGATATGACCTTGAGCTTGGGAGATCTTTCCTACATTACATGTAACTCCAGGCTGGCTGTAAGTCATTCAGTGAGAAGGCTGAGGCAGAAGTAAACTTGCTTCTGAATGGTGGCACTTTTCTCTGCCTTCCCCCAGGAAGCAGGTGGTGTGGCAAAGCCAACAACAGAGGCACGTCACAGAGCTCCCCAGCTTGTAATATTAATCCTGGCTCAGAAAACCCAGTTAAACAGGCCCACTCTTCGTGAAATCACTTTGAAAAAAATGTGTTTGCGTCCCATTTCCGTTTGTGAAATGAAATCTGTTCAGATGCCGTTTGGTGGGAGGGAGATGCTCAGGGTGGAGTGGGGGATGCTCTGTTTTCATTCAAATCACCAGGCTCTGCAAGTTCTTCCCTTGAATTTATCATTCTCTGCTTCCCTAATAGCGGAGAATGGTAAATGGGCCAGCCCCAGGGGCTGGTCTTCTGTTTGATCATAAAAATGCGTGGAAAGTTATATCCTATTCCTTTATATCCATTAGTTTTAATTTTGAAAAGTTAAAAATTACCACCAGGGGAAAAATGAAAACGGAACTAACATAGCTTATTCAGTACTTATCCATTTTGTTTGGTACCTACCACCACTGCATACTGCAACTGGAAAAAGAAAACAAATAAATGATGGAGATAAAACATGGTAGCAACAATTCCAAGAGAGAAAAGAGTGGGGAGAGAGAGAGAAAGGTCAGCAGTCTCAAGAACTCAAGAATGTGGTGGAGCCTTCTTGCTGCTGTTTGCAGTTACAATGCTGCTGACCTCAGGGGAAGATGAAGACAGACACCTCTTCAGAGAGCCTCACAGATGGGTTAAATGCATTTTCCCTGCCAGTGATCAGCTTTAGAAACGGCTGCAATGCTACCTGCCATAGAGCGTGAATGAGAAGTGACAGCATCCAGGTGCCAGGCCCCTGCCAGCAGCCTTCCCCCCTCATCCCGGCCTCAGTGATGGTGCCATTTGTTCAGGAATCCCGCCTCCGAGCCGTGCAGGGCTCCTGGCTCTGCTTCTCACCAGCCCTCTGCATCTCTCTCACTCTCCTGCTTTTACAAATTGTACGGAATACCCATCAGCAGCCCCGAGACACAGGCCACCACTGGACGACACCACACAGGACGTCCTCAGCACGATTTTCTCTGCCCTGGCCTTTCCATTTAAGCTTCTTTCACCGCCAAAACACCTGAAAAATAGTCAGGCTATATACAAGGAATGCTTATGTACTTCTAAAATATAAGTCACCATGGAGGATGAAAACAAAAGCTAGGAGACAGCTCTTTAAAAAAGCCTCCATTTGAAAGCCAGAGTCAGGGGATATGTTCAGAAGAAACGCAGAGTTAACATCAAAATGGTACCAGGCAAGCAACTTCTTGAACAATTTCAGTTCCTCCTAATTTGGCTATGAATAGTGAAGGTTTCCGTTTTACTTGTCTCTGGAAAAGAGCGATTGCATAACAGCACGGAGCTGTTCCGAAGATTCCGGCTCAGGACCAAGGGAAAGAAGGAGCCAGGTCCTAAACTGAATCGCGACAACACTTCCTGTTTTTCTGGGGAGAGCCCTAATTTGAATATTATATGACTTGCCCCAGTTTCTGTTGTCAGGTGGTTAAGATTATGTCTTGAAAAAAGAAGAGAAACTGCTCTTGATAAGTATTTCTTATAGCCTATTTATCAGAACACGAGCAACATAATTTGTATTGATTTATGGATTGATAGAATAGTGAGGAGTTTACATTTTAGGACTTTGGCTGCACTGACCAAGAGGAGCTTAGCTGAAAATGTAAAATTATACCAGCTCTCTAGGTTCACATAATGCGCATGCTTGGAATCTACACCCTTTCATCGGCAAAGCCCCCCCTGGAGACCGTGGGAAGGCAGTGCCTCCTCCTCTGAATTGACAAGGTCAGCTCAGTGACTTTTCAGAAGTGCGAAACCTCACAGTGCCAGGAAAAAATGATGATAGATAGCTAAACCTCACTGTACACAACAGATCTGTTCTTGGAGAGTTATTATGAAGAGCGTATTTGCAAATGGAATCATTAGCATGCATTATGGAGGCTCATTCTACAAAGGAACCCCGTGGTGAATCCCTTTACAAAATGGAAGGGAAAATTTGTTATGCAAATAACTATCTTTTAATTGATCTGTTTGAAAGGCTGGGTTTTCGTGCACTGAGTCTTAAAACGGAGCGCACCTGTGTATCCCTTCTACCACCTCTCACCGTGGGTTAAATATTAGTTCCCCCTTTTCTTAACCCCCAAATGCTTTCTAAAAACCTCTTCTACTGATATATAACATCACCCCTCAGAATATAGAGTAGGAGTTCTGTAAAGGGCCAGAGAGAAAGGGTTTTCGGCTCCGCGAGCTGTACGGTCTCTGCCATGACCACGCATCCATGCCGTTTTCCAGAAGCCAGCTTGAGAGAACAGTAAATGAACAGGCAGAGCTGGGTTCTGATACAATTTTATTTATGCTCACTGAAACTTGAATTTCATACAATTTTTACATGCCACAAGATATTATTATTCTGATTTTTCCCCACCATTCAAAAAGAGTAATAACCATCTTAGCTTGTAGCCAAAAATATGTGATGGGTCAAATTTGACCTACTGGCCGTAGTTTACAGACTCCTGGTATAGACGTTTTTATCAATATCCTATCTATCTCCCCTGATAGTCTGTAAACTTCTTGGGGTCTTAGGAGTAGCTGCACCTGGATTTGAACCTCAGAGGTGGCATTTA